GTAAGGTAAACAATACACATTTGATAGGTTAGGGACTAAAGTATCTGTTTGAGCTAAGGTATATATACTCATCTAAAGTTGAGCTGGGTAAAGTCTTTGACTCATACAGGTTAATTGGAGTTAGGAAAAGTCTTTGACTTATACAAATTGGAGTTGGGAGAATCTCTTTGACTCATCTTAGTTGGAGTTGGGAGAAGTCATGGACTTTACAATTTGGAGTTGACGAAAGGCTTTGACTCGTCCAAGTTTGAGTCGGGAGTTCCAAATTTGAACTGGGAGAAGTCTTTGACTCATACAGGTTAATTGGAGTTAGGAAAAGTCTTTGACTTATACAAATTGGAGTTGGGAGAATCTCTTTGACTCATCCAAGTTAGAGTTAGAGTTGGGAGAAGTCTTTGACTCGTACAAGTTGGAGTTGGAAAAGTCTTTGACTCGTACAAGTTGGAGTTGGGAGAAATCTTTGACTCGTACAAGTTGAAATTGGAAGACGTATTTGACTCATACACATTGGAGTTCGGAGAAGTCTTTCACTCATACAAGCTGGAGTTAGGAGAAATCTTTGACTCGTATCAGTAGGAATTGGGAGCAGTCTTTGACTCATCTAAGTTGGAGTTGGGAAAAGTATTTGACTCGTAACAGTTGAAATTGGGAGAAGTCTTCGACTCATCCAAATTTAAGCTGGGAAAAGTATTTGACTCATCCAAGTTGGAATTGGGGAAAAGTCTTTGACTCATCGAGGAAGGAGCTAGGAAAAGTCTTTGACTCATCTAAGTTTGAGTTGAAAGAAGTCTTTGACTCATCCAAGTTGGAGTTAGGAGAAGTCCTTGACTTATACAAATTGGAGTTGGGAGAATCTTTGACTCATCTAAGTTGGAGTTGAGAGAAGTCATGGACTTTACAATTTGGAGTTGAGGAAAGGCTTTGACTCGTCCAAGTTTGAGTTGTTATTCTGATTTCTGGTTGAAAGGACTATTTGTCTCATCAGAGTTCTGATTAATAAGGAGATGCATTTGATTTGATCTGGAGAAAAAATAATCTTAATATATAATATATAGTGTGAAAATCACCACCTTTCAAAATACTGTATATCTCAATAAGACAACTATTTTCCTCTTTAATAAGGAAGATATTTTCCTTTTAATTAATATTTCCTGAATACAGCCCAAATCTAATTACTGTTATCAACATTAAGAGTTACAGCAATTTGAACTCCCTTATCTAAACATAGTAACCATCATTCCCTGTGATTAAGTGTTAGGAGCGATTATCTCCCCTATCTACAAACTTCAACCAACATTTACTGTTCCAATGGCAATTCTCTATCTATGCACTGCAACCAACATTTAGTATATGGGAGAGTTCCCTCCTATCTATGCACTGCAACCAACATTTAGTATATGGGAGATTTCCCCCCTATCTATGCACTGCAACAAACATTTAGTATATGGGAGATTTCCTCCCTATCTATGCACTGCAACCAACATTTAGTATATGGGAGAGTTCCCTCCTATCTATGCACTGCAACCAACATTTAGTATATGGGAGCTTTCTTTCTTATCTACACATCACTACCAACATTCATTTTATGCTATTTTCACATGTTCTTGTTGAAGTGGTCCATATGTGGCACAAAAACCTGGTATTCTGCAATACACAAACACATTTTTGGGTCAACCTAATATTTCAAGCTCAAAATGCAGTTTTTGAGTTTTGTAACCAAAAAAAAATTAATAATAAATTAAGCATTGAATGTGCCTCTCTTACACGTGAATCAAATCTTAAAACATATCCTAATATATCTAGGTCAATCAACCTAAGTTTATGTACAAATATTGCAGACCAGCAATTGTAAGCTGTTAGGTTTTCGCTACGCATGTCCAGACCCCTCCACCTACACCTGTCAAATATTATAAAGGCCAGCCTCATCCATGAACTCTGCATGGCGTTTGCTTTCTTGTTCAACCAGTTGAAACAATTGGACTGGATAATTATGTGAAACCCTGAAATCGATATTATCTCCCCTATCTACTCACCGCAACCAACATTTAGTGCTACGAAAGAGCCTTTATGACAATTGTTCCCTAACAGCTGTACATGTATCTGCAAAACCACCATTTTTGATAAATTGTGTCTAGATACACAACTTTTACTAGGAAAATTATTGAAATATAGAGATAAAATATGAAATAAATAGACAATACAATGAACAATATAAATACAATGTACACCATATGGAGACAATGTGTCCCTATATTTCTGGTGAATGCCCCTAACTCGGATACAATCAATGTGTACTATTAATGGCAGAGTACATCTCGATTGTAACTCTGTAATTAATCAACCTTGACTACCTTTTTCAAAATGGAAGCACATCATTGGCTAAAACTTTATATTTGTAATGCAAACAACTTGGGGAAATCAATAATCCAAAGAAAAAAAATCCTGCTTTTTACTTGTAGGTCTGCAGATGAAGAATTCACAAAGGACTGTTTATGCAGTTAAACCAAAGACCAAACCATATACAGCCAGCATTTCTTAGATTGACCTGTTATCACAGTTTAAATTTAAAAAAAAAAATCATCCTTGCAAAAGACCGCAAATTGAACACAAGGTAAACAAATCTGAATATTATTTCTATAGATTGAGTACCTTTTGTTGTGAAAAAGTACATAAATTATATGGTCTAGTGTTATAACTTTGGATTAAAAAACGAATATATGCAAATTTAACATTTAATATTCAATGTCATGATCCTATCTGTAAATCATGATAGTATATATCATTAAGTCATCATAGGGTAGGCATCTTATATTATATATATACAATATGTATAAACACAGTTGAACTGTTTAACATACAAAATGTAAAAATTTCATGTTCAGGTCATAGTTACAGCAATCTTTGGCCACAAGTATTCCATCCTCCATCCTCCAGGGGTTATGCCCACTTTTGCCCCCCAGCACCCCTGGAGTATTGATGATACAGCAGGTACCTTTTAAATAGTCTTCTTTACAGGACAAAACTTTCAGGGATTCATTACCTATAAATCTCCATGCTTATGATAATAATAATATCCCTTTCATTCACCACACTCGCTTTCAACAAACTACATGTACTTTCATGAAACCATGACATACCTGGTAACAAAATCTGAAAAATTGTCGATAAGACATTTTTTTTTATGAAAATTTGAATTCGGTTTGGAAAAATTACACAAATGAGTGTGTAGTAGACCATCCAGTACAAGTGTACAGTTCCATGAAGGGTGTAAAAGATTGCAATTTAGGGCAAACAACAAGTGATCAATGATTATTTTTGTTTGTGTTTTACGTCCTATTATCAGCTATGGTCATTTAAGGACGTGCCAGGTTTCGGTGGTGGAGGAAAAAGCCGGAGTTCCCGGAGAAAAACCACCGACCAACAGCCAGTTCCTTTGCCTCTGTCCCACGTAGGTCTCGAACCCGCAACCCAGTGGTGGAGGGCTATAGTGGTAGCAGAAGTTCAGACGCCTTAACCACTTGGCCACCTTTAAAAACTTTGAAATTACTGTTTTTTTAATTTCGAATACTGCCCAAATACTATTATGAAAATATTTATTTATATTTCTAATTATTGTTGCCCAGGTAACAAGTTCAAATTTGCATAAATTAGAAAAAAATGAATATTCAGTGAATATTGTGATATTTTGCATAATTGTTCTCCTAGAAACTGTAGAGTGCATGCTTGAACAAACTTAATATCAATGGATAATGTGTAGGCATCTGTCATACATCTTTAGGAGAAATATAAAGTTTGTTCAAGAGTGTGCTCTATGGTAGCTAAGAGAAAAACAAGGTGAAAACCTGTCAAAATTGACTGAATAATCAAACTTCAATAATTTATGCAAATATGACCTGGTTACCATGGCAGCCAAAATTGAAAACACAAATAAATGTCTACATAATTGTACTGGGGATGTATTCAAAATTAAAGAAACAGTCGTTTGAAAGTTCTATTGCAGATTTTTAATTTTGATGGATTTGGGAGCCAAAAAAGGCCCAAACCCATACATAGTCCTTTGATTGTCCAGACAGTTGGTACATGTAGCTGTGGCAGTGTGTTATTTAACGACTAAGGGAGTTCAGATGGGACTAGAACCATTTACAAACATGAAGATGTGTTTAGATGCAATTATTACAATTTTACCTTTAGGTTCTTTGAAACACTTGATCTTTGCAATATACAAACTCTACTACTATAATATCTACATAATAAATAAGCATGGTCCCTTTTCATGTTTATGATTATCCATAACTTTATAAACATATTTTATGCAATTTTTCAAAAAAATATCTTTATTAAAATTGTTTAATGAAGTGAATTCAACCTTTTTACATATTATTGTGATTGTGATGTCATGGAGAATATTTATTATGTCATCAATTTTGTTAACTGTGATAAGGACATGATTGTATGTACATTTATAAACAATGTATGTAAGTATACATATTTATAAACAACATATGTATGCATTGCAATGTACCTATGTCCATGCATAAAAATCATATACAGTACATGCATAAACAGTGGATGTACATGTGTGTTAATGTTTAAACAATGTATCTATGTCCATGTATAAAGAAGTATATTGTATAAACAATGTATGTAGGTACATAAACAATGTATGTATGTCCATGTATACAGAAGTATACTGTATGAACAATGTATGTAGGTACATAAACAATGTATGTAGGTACATAAACAATGTATGTATGTCCATGTATAAAGAAGTATATTGTATGAACAATGTATGTAGGTACATTAACAATGGATGTATGTACATAAACAATGTATGTATGTGCATAAACAATGTATGTAGGTACATAAACAATGGATGTATGTACATAAACAATGTATGTATGTACATAAACAATGTATGTATGTACATAAACATTATGTATGAACATAAACAATGTATGTATGTACATAAACAATGTATGTTTGTACATAAATAATGTATGTATGTCCATGTATAAAGAAGAATGTATGCATGTACATAAACAATGTATTTAGGTATATAAGCAATGTATGTATGTCCTTGTATAAAGAAGAATGTATGTAGGTACATCATAAACAATGTATGTATATACATAAACAGTGTATTTAGGTATATAAACAATGAATGTACAAGAACATGGCATTAATATTGTATAAACAATGTACGTAGGTACATAAACAATGTATGTAGGTACATAAACAATGTATGTATGTACATAAACAATGTATTTAGGTACATGGCATTAGTAGTGTATAAACAATGTATGTACATCTGTTACAATGTTTGTATATATTGTATATTATGACATTTTTCATGACCTATTAATAGTTTCAGGTGTAGTTATGGAGATGTGGAACTTCTCCCAAAGATGCAGAATTTTGGAATTTGGAGTCAAAACCGAGGCCTACCGTGATTTTTGTAAAAGGTCACACTGATACTGCAAGTGCAACAATAATGTAGATTTTTTAGATGTTGAACAATTCAAATAAGGACATCTTTGGAAAAAACAGAAACAAATAATATCAAAGGTATGTCGTGAAATCAAAGCAGTCTGCAAAACCTCCACAGCAAACCTATTGATTATCTCCATGGGGTGATTTCCGTTGCTGACTACGTTTTGGCGATAAATGTTCTACCGTTGATTGAAATGACAGTTTGATGATGTCACATGTTACACTAAAATGTCGTCACATTTCAGCAAGTCAGGGACAAGCTACTAAACATTTTTAACTTCCTGAAATAGACGTCATGAAGTGCAGTGGTGTAGGTCAAACATATCCTACTTGATACACACTAGATTAACGTTTAACATATGTAGTGGCGGAAAAAATAAAGGTCGAACCTTTTTTTTACTCAATTTTCAAATTATAAACGAAAATTTCAGTACAATTTTTTAAGATTGATTTTCCATTAGGTGATTTTCATATCCAAATACTAAAACTTTGACATCAGATAAACACTTTTAAAACAAAGATGATAAAATTCCTAGACTACATTTCTACAAGATAAACTTAATAAAACTACACACTCACTACCACTCCTCTCAACGTGATGACGCGTAACCCTAACGACCTTGTGTTACCGTGACGACCTCAATGTGAGATCTAGCTATGTACAGGTTGGTGTAACAATAAATAGACTGATCTAACATTCCACAATCCTCATACATCGTCCTCGTTGATCTCGTCCTCCTGTATAGAACTTTCGTCTATGGACTCTGTGGAGGTGAACTCGGAGGCAGGCTTGATCTGGGTCATGTCAAGTCTTGGTAAGGACATTTGCTCAGGGTACAGCCAGGGTTTCATTCGCGGGTTATTCATGCTCTTCCATGCTTCGTAGTTTTTGCATGCTTTGTAGATCCTATTTATTACCTGTATAAACATTAAGTAATACATGTTAAAAATAATGATTCTATATCATAATTCTTAACTGTCTCACCAGTCAAAAACAAGTCATTCGAACTGATATGTCTCGCCTATGCCCCACTTTGACCATCAATGCACATATCAGAGAAACTCAGACTTAAACGCAAAAACTTCATGTTGATGGAGATGCTGACAAATCAATTGACATTACCTTATAGACACAATCTACTCATTTGCAGATATTTCCCCTACAATTTGGGTTGAAATCTAGTCACCCAGTGTTTAAACTCATTCACCCCTGAATTTTCATAATGAACTATTCCAGCCTCTGAATAGGAAGAGTTCAAATGTGTCTTCAGGGGTGAATGATGAGTTAAGGAATAATCTTGTAAAGATTTACTTAGTAATATATCCCTATTGGACCCTTCCTCTTTGACCCTTTAGTAATGGGGATATATTCATTTTAACACATCCTTTGTTCAGGGGTGGTACACATACCAAATTAATTCAAAATCTCCTATATTCTAAACTATTAAACTTTTGAATGAAATGATGTCAGATCCTTTGAGCAACGTGGACAGATAAGCAACACACTACTAGCACTATCAACTTCACTTTGGGCTGTGATAGACAATCACTACTGCAGTATATAAATATGACATTCATTAGCAGGTGACAGTGAATATTGTCACCCCGAGACAACCATTGTCCCCCGAGGCGAAGCCGAGGGTGACATTGGGTTTTTGAGGGTTGACAATATTCACTGTCACCTGCTAATGAATATCATATCTATTTTGTTACACCAAAAGTCTTTGTAGCTCAGAAACGGCAGCAAACCTCGATTATGACATCTTGTTTGTTGATAGTCTGCTGTTTACAATCGCTATCACACCGGCGCTTGATAAAATTGGCTGTTGTCGTCAAACGTTCTTGTGAAGACCATTACAGTGGGGAAACGAAGCGATGAACGCACATTTTTCGCTCATGTGATATTTTTCACTGTCTCATGACATTCTCACCCGCGCCCCTTAAAACCAATGTATTTTCGGAGGATGACAGAGATTTTTGTTCAACTTTCTCCCAACCAACCAAATAGCTAGAAATTCACTTGAGGTGTAACAACATAAATTATCTAACCTATATATGTGGTCAGCTGGTTCAGTAACTCGACCTTACCTTTGGAGCCAGGATCTGTGTAGCTTTATTGACCGCCCACACAGGCAGCTTTCCTAAAGGACAAAAAATCATTGTATTTTATTCAATGAGGTCAAGGTACAATACTGAATGGCAATACATGTACTCATGATTTATCCCATACTTAAAGGGTATTCTGCTACAAAACTGTAATACCAATATCCTTTTTTAGAGAGTTCCAAACTTATACCCTATAGTATATCAGTTTTTTCTTAACTAAATTTTACAACAGCCTATTCCTGTATGAATTGGGAAAATATAGCATTATTTTCATTTAAATTGGGAATATATTCCTCATTTTTTTGTCATTTTTGGAAAATAAGGCATTTTTAGCCATGGGAAATAGCCTGTATCCGGCTGTAATACTAAGCAAAAACATTACTGTATATAAGTTTTGATAATGGCCATAGGATCCTAATGCAAAGTATGAGCATAATAGGAAAACAAATTTATACAAATCATATATTTGTTATGTAGCATATAGCCTTAACTAACACTTAATTTAATGTCATGAATACATGATTAGGGGTTATGAAACAATTACTTAATGATATATATACGTTTATTAGATTACAATATTGAAAAATTAAATCACTGTTATTTTAACTAAGAGATTTACAGATTCAAATGGATTATTCACTTAATTTCATTTTCGCCTACACACCACAAAATATTTAGTTTGTACAGCAAACTGAATTTAGTGAATGAATCTAAACTAGATATGATGAAGTGGGAGTGATAACCTTTATCTGATACAGACATTGTTGGATAAGATAGCGATGGACACTGTTTACTTATTGTCACCACATGTACAGTAGTTTTGGTCAGTCGGTCAAGATATTTGGGCATACTGACCTTTGGGGTCGGAATGTGACACGTAGTTCAATTGGCAGGTGAAAGTGTCCTGTTTACGTATAAGGAAGCCAGTTACATGGGATACACCTCGGATGAACCCCTTCCTGGCAGGAACACTCTGTGTGAAAATATAATGAACAATCAATCAATCAAATATATAAGGACTTATACTTCAACTTATTCATAAAGGTTAAAATGTATCTACAAATTAAAGTAGCTTTTTTAAAGATTTTGAGTGATACCCAAGTTAGGGAGTATTCAGATCGGTGACATGTGGCTTATCTATGTAAAAACTGTGCGACATCGATGACAACAATGGTCGCACATGAGTACTACCCGCTATTCTGTATAGTTAAATGCGGTTGATGTGAAAATAGATCAATTTAAGCGAGTTTCGTGAAGCCATTATTGCATCGCCGATAGCCATTCTCAATAAATAATTACGTAATTTCAGTACTCAAATTGTGTGTTCGAACAATCCGAAATGTGTGTAAGCAGGGTTCGAACCATCACTAGGTTTACCGTAGCCTCTATCACATCACAGTACCAGGTAATAATTAGCCAATCAGCATCCAAACTTTTATGATATGGTGTACAGTGTTACGTAGTAACTATCACATATGAGAGGATGTGGGACGTTAACCATGTCAGTCTGATATGACCCCACTGTTATATTTTCTGCTCAGAAAGATTATCTTGAGAATAGAACTCTGCCCCGACATCAAGTGAAGAGTGCCTGACATGACAAAGTCTTCGTTTGTTCATATTGCATGGTGCCAATGTGTGTTTGTTACTAAGCCTTCGTTTTTTTTTAACAGTTACATGTACACCAAACGGTTCATAGAACTAGAACACTGACAGGTCAGTAAGGGCCCGCGCCGTCTTGTGGCAATATATCCCCCATAATCATCAAGAAGCAATCTGCCCATATAGCTGAGCTTGACGATTGACATTTGGACTTTAAAAAAAAGGAAGCAAATTAATTTTACATGTATTATGATGCGAGTCTTGTTTCTTTCCACCTCCATGTTTGCTGTGCTAACAGAAATGTAAATACCTGTGCAATACTCATTTGTTGGCTTTGATTTGTTTTATTTCACCTTAAATACCTTCCCCCATCAAGAGCCAGGGTCAAAGTCAGAGATCCACTTTGTCTTTGACCTTTGGACTCAAATGACCTTGATCTTTAACCCAGTGACCCTGATCTTTGGTCAGATGACTTATTCTTTAACTCCGACCAACTTTGCTTCATAATATCATAACAAAATGTTCATCAGTAAAAAAAACTTGACCTTGAACCTTTGGACCCTGAAACCTGGACCTTTGGTCAGTTGACTTTGTGGTTTAGAACAACTTAACTTCATAACAACATAAAAAAAAATGTTCGTCAGTAAAAAAATACAACATTTTACCTTGACATTGACCCAGTGACCTTGACCTTAAGTCAGTTGACTCCTTATAGAATTCCGACCAACTTTGCTTCAAAATGTCATAACAAAATGTTAATCAGTGAAAATATACAAAATTTGACTATGACCATTGACCAAGTGATCTTGACCTTTGGTCAAATGACTCCTTGTTTAATTCCGACCAATATTGCTTCAAAGTGTCATAACGAAATGTTCACCAATGAAAAGATAATAAATTTGACCTTGACCTTTGATCCAGTGACCTTGACCTTTGGTCAGTTGACTCTTTGTTAAATTCTGACCAACTTTGCTTCATAATGTCATAACAAAATGTTCATCAGGGAAAAGATACAAAATTTGACCTTGACCTTTAATCCAGTGACCTTGGCCTTTGGTCAATTGACTCCTTGTTTGATTCTGATTAAATTTGCTTCATCATGTCATAACAAAATGTTCATCAGTGAAAAGATACAATATTTTACCTTGACATTGACCCAGTGACCTTGACCTTAAGTCAGTTGACTCCTTATAATTCCGACCAACTTTGCTTCATAATGTCATAACAAAATGTTAATCAGTGAAAATATACAAAATTTGACTATGACCATTGACCAAGTGATCTTGACCTTTGGTCAAATGACTCCTTGTTTAATTCCGACCAATATTGCTTCAAAGTGTCATAACGAAATGTTCACCAATGAAAAGATAATAAATTTGACCTTGACCTTTGATCCAGTGACCTTGACCTTAGATCAGTTGACTCTTTGTTAAATTCTGACTAACTTTGCTTCATAATGTCATAACAAAATGTTCATCAGGGAAAAGATACAAAATTTGACCTTGACCTTTAACCCAGTGATCTTGGCCTTTGGTCAATTGACTCCTTGTTTAATTCTGATTAACTTTGCTTCATCATGTCATAACAAAATGTTCATCAGTGAAAAGATGCAAAACTTGACCTTGACCTTTGAACCTTATGACCTTAACCTTTGACCTTGACTTTTTTACCTCAGTGTGTATTTTCATGAACTGAACATCTTGACCAAGTTTCATGTATATCAGTCAATTAACATCAAAGTTATCAGCCAGGAACAAAATTTGTGGACGGACGGACAGACAGACAGATAAAGTGATAACTATAGGGCACCCGTATCTCCGATACGGCCCCCTTATAGTTGAGGACTAAGAACTGAATCTAGAAGCTAGCAAATCACAGGTGCACTGATGTCACAAAGTCTCTGTTCTTATACTTACTGCATGATTTACAGAATGATTGAGGATATAGAATTCTGACCCTAGGTCAAGCCAGGAACGCTGAGTTACAAAGTCTCGGTTCTTCAGAGGGGAAGGACATTTCACTGAAAATAAGAAACAAATCCTTTGTTTTAGAATAGGAATAATTAAAACAGATATCAGAAAAAAAAGTTTCACTGAAAATTAGAGACAAAATCTTTAATTTAGTACAGGAATAATTAAAAAAAATATCAGGGCAAAGAATAAATAATTATTTATTTGTTATTTATGGTGACGACACTATCGCCACATTAGAGTCCAATATACTACATGTAGGTAACTATCGGGCAATAACAGCTGATATAAACCCATCCCTGGTTACCAATCCAGTTGGACTCCATACTGTGAAAATGGTTCAAAGTGACAATTAGTCATCAGGGAAAATCCTGGAAGTTGATCATGAGAGCAGTGGTCCTTTTCAGCAATTTTTTGTCAGTGCATGTATAACAATTAAGAGGGACCATTCTTTGTAAAATTAAAAGAAAATTGGAACATGGAGGGGTCAATTTCAGTTTTGAGGGATCAATGGCCCCCTGCAGGATTATCCCTGGGTCATAAACAATGTGCTGTGTACAAACCTAGTTCTAATCAGCAAATCTTTACTGGTGAAGGGCAAAACCCCACGCTGTCTAAGCGTAGTGTGTGGGTTCCCAATGACAGTTTTACCCAATGCTGTGTAACTAGCACCCGCTTAAAAAAAATTATTCCATTTTTCTGCATGCTTTATTATAGTTGTTTAATTGCTTCCTTTAAAAATATCAAACAGGGAAAATTCAACTCAGAATAATCCATTTTTAGCCATGATGCCAGCGATCTCCATTATCTAGGTCTTTGAAAAACGTTGTTTATTTCACCAGAAATGACCTAGTCAATAGTGAATACCCTAAAGCTTGGTCTCCAATATTGGATGTTTTACAAATTAAGGAATCCATATCTCCCAAAGGCAGTAATTAACAGTCTGTAATACATTCTGGAAGTGAAGCCGATACCAGCGGTGACACTAAACCAGTATTATAAATAATGAATCAAGTCAAGTAATCAGTGAAGATGTTGAGGTTCGATGTGTAACGAATTAACTGTCTATCATACAATAGTCAGCGGTGACACTAAACCAGTATTATAAATAATGAATCAAGTCAAGTAATCAGTGAATTCGTTACGCATCGAACCTCAACATCTTCAAATGATACTGTACACATTTAAATTTAGAACAACTGCGAGAAAATGTTTTTAGATGATAGCTATAGGACGACAGAACACGTTGTCTCAAGCAATCAACGACATGGAATTTCACACAAATTAGTTAAATGTTTTAATGAAAAGTACAAACTAATCACAACACCTCCATGATCATTCGCATCTAGAATATTTTGTATTTCCCTTTAGTTCACAAGCAGTTGTTATATGGTCAACGTATTATGTTGTGAATTTTGTTACGTAAATACAAACCAACTCTTAATCCCTTTAGTGTGATTATATCATAATTAGTTCTTAAAATCAAAAAAATATTGGTCAGTTACAATTGGAACACACAGAGGTATACTGATGTAAACACTACATTGTATTACAACTATCAAATAATGGTATTAACAGATTGATATAGTGTTAGTTGGACCTAGTTCTGACTATAAAATGTAAGGTATGGTCAAAAACTTCCTTACAGGTACTTTGAGAATGTTTTATTGCCATTATACTTATAATTATGAATTTTATGATTGTTTGCCTATCTCAAATGTTCCAAATCTCCTTTTATTCTTTTGTAAATAATTTGTTCATCATTCATATATGATGTAAAGAATATATAAAAATATGTTGTATATTTTTATTTTTTTTGACATTTCATGAAATACAGCCCTGAAAATACCTGTTCAATGATAGTTTGATATTTTAATATTAAACTATAGTTTATATACAATGAGTTTGCCTTGCTGCCTATGTTTTCTGTTTTCTGTAATGTAGGTCGTATGTATTTATGTAGTTGCCAATTAGCATGTATGTTAATGAGAGTAGAGGGATGCTGCTGATTGACCAATCAGCGTCTGCCTGAGGGAATGCCCTGTTAGGGATTTGGAGCCCCCACAGCATAGTTTTCTGAATCATTGAAGGAGATTGTTGTGCATTCCCACCCGCCATCCCCTTCAGCACCTGTAATTGTACTGTTTATTCATGTAATATATATATATAATCTGTACTTTATATATGATTGTAATACCATATACGTATGCTATAACATTACTTTGGTGCTTTGGTTTTGCTATACCCTTAAACTGTCATATGAATGTCATC